CAAATGGGTCTGTTGGGGGAGCTAGTCTCCAGAGACGGCCCAGGGGCCGCCCAGTCCAGACCGCATATTCAGACTTGGCGTGGCCCCTCCCCGCCCTGTGATTTGTGCCAACCAATAGAAGGCAGTGGAAGTGGAACTGCACCCGTTCTGGGTTCAGCCCTAAAGGAGCCTGGAAGCTTCTGCTTCTTCTCTCCTGAGACACTCAGTTTCGGAGGCTTTTGCTGCCATGGCAGAATTCCAGCTGTCCTGCTGGAGAGATCCCAGGGAGAGGGTCAGGGGCAGGCCCTGAGACCACATGGAGAGGGAGAGGGGCCCAGGCCTGGCCCAGTGTACTGCCGCTGACTTGTAACGACGTAAGGAACCCAAGCAGTGAAAGCAGAAGAACTGCCCAGCAGAGCCCAATCAACCCACAGAACTGAGCCTACAGACACAATAAAAATAGTGGTTGTTTTAAGCCACCAAGTTTAGGTTTGTTCCACGGTAATAAACGACCAAAACGCTTGTGTAAGTTGAGTTACATCCCTTCACATTCCCAATGCCCTGTTCTCTTATGCACTGGCCAGTTTTAGCCCCATTTTAGGGCAGTGAATGCATTATAGAAATTGTCTGTGGAACACCCACTTTTGCTCTCATATCTACTTCTGTTCCTCAAACAGCAGCTTCGAAAAGTGGGAAGCATTGCTGTGCGGTGGGGAAGAACGTGCACTGACTTGTTGTTGACCTTGATTGAGTTCCTCCACATCTCTGAGGCTGTACAAATAAGATAGCTAATGACTCCCTTGCAGGGATGTGTACAGATTAAACAAAAGACTGCTAATAAGACACTTAGCATGCCACTTGGCACGTGTCAAGTGTCCAGTGAATGGCGTTTATCAGAGGCTGGAGGACAGGCCAGGAGACAGCTCCTACTGGTGACAAGTCCCTTGTCCCACTTTTCCCATATTAGCAAAAACATAGAAAGCAGGGGTCAGGCTTCCGTGGGTCCAGAGTGATGCCAGACCTTCTTGGAGAAGAGCATCTGCTGCTTGTTATCTCTGTTTATAAAGAGGGAGGATGGAGGTCCAGCATGGAGGCAGTCCTATGACCCACTGCAGGACCCTAACTCCTCTGGGAAATGCATGTCATTTTTTGCGGGGGGGGTGGAGGCGTAGTGCAGACCCAGCCCCCAAACAAAAAGAATATCATAGGAGCCCAAGAAGGCAGAGACTGAGTCTTATTAATCACTCTATATCCCCAGAACTCGGCATGTAGTCAGTGTAAGTTCCAAGCAGGCACAGAATTATTTTCCTGTTTTGTTCACTGCTATATTTCCAGCACATAGTAGGTCCTCAGTAAACATACATTGAACAAGTGAATGAATGAATTCGAGAGTGAATGAATGTTGTACTGCCTGTAGCCGACCCTGTAGGCTGCCTATCCCAAGCCATTCCTTCCTCTTTCCTTGCTAATGGAGCCCTGATGTGATTCAACGTGCCACTCCATGGGAAACTCATGATGGATTTAAGGAAATCAGGGCACTCCTGTTCCTGCTTGCCAGGGATTGGTCTAGGAGTGGTCATGTGACACAGTGCAGCCAATGAGACTAAGACAAAATCTGCTCAGGGGATTCTGGGAAATATTTTCCTCCAGCATAAAGAGAGAGAGAGATGTAAAAAGAAAATGCTTGCTTTGTCCCCACCTTATCTCCCTGCTTTTGCACATTGTTATGCAAGGACGTGATTCCTGGAGGGAAGGCCATCATTCGGAACCCAAACTGAACAAGCCCAAGGATGAGAAGCCAGCCCTCTGAGCATGGCATTGTGGTGCCTTGTGAGATGACCCACGTGAGCTTCCGAGCCCTCCAGGACCCCCTAGATGACGATGTCTGAGATAAATGCCCATCTTCAGGGTGTCGGTAGATACTCTGTTCCTTTTAAGCAAAGTGTCTTCCATCAAGTGGTGCCTTCATGATATTGTTAGGAGCTGAACTGTGTTCCCCTAAATTCACATGTTGAAGCCCTAACTCCCAGCACCTCAGAAAGTGACTGTATGTGGATATGACACCTTTAAAGAGGTGATTGAGTTAAAATGAGTCCATTAGTTGGGCCCTAATCCAATCTGACTGGTCTGCTTATAAGAAGAGGGAATTTGGACACACAGAGACACCAGGCATGTCCACACAGAGCACAGCCGTGTGAAGACACAGCAAGAAGGTGACCATCTGCAACCCAAGAAGAGGGACCTCAGAAGAAACCAAAGATGCTGACACCTGGACCCCAGCCTCCAGAACTGTGAGAAAATAGATTTGTGTTGTTGAGGTCACCCAGTCTGTGGTACTTTGTTGTGGCAGTCCTATAAAACTAATACAGATATCTACTGTGATGATCAATTTATTATCACCATTATAAAAAAATCCTTATCTCACCATATAATTGTCCCCAGGGTGGGGTTGGGAACTGGATGAATAAGGCTTGCCTTGGTTCTTCAGGATTATGTAACAGGCAATGATGTCAACCCAAGACTGGCCCTCCCGGGGTCCTCCACCCATCGACGCATCCACCCATTACTTCCTTCAGTAAAAATCTAGCAAACGTCTACCGTGCATTGGAGTTGTGTGGAATTGTCACAGAGCATGTGCTTTGAAGTCAGGCTGCCTGGTTTTGCTTCCTAATTCGATATCTTAGTAGCTGTGTGACCTAAGCCCAGCTGTTTACCTTCTCTGAGTTTTCTCTTCTCTGGAATAGGTGGTAAGAATACCCATCTCACGGGATTATTTGAGGCCAGAGCGAGCTGGTGCTTGTTGAGTGCTTCGTAAAGCACTTGACTCAGAACGTGGATGGGGACCATTGCTTTTCTGAATACACAAAATGGACAAGAAAGGAGAACACAGTCATGTTTTCACTCATATAATTTCAACATAATCCTCCCAACAAACCTTGTGACATAGGTATTGCCACCCTGCTTTGCAAAGTAAAGTGAGGTTCAGAGGGATCATGTGACAGTAGTCACAGTTTTTAAATCGCAGGGCTGAGGTCCCAGCCCAGGTCTTCTGATTGCTAAGCCCTGAGCTCTCTCCTTCTGTACCAGAGCAGCCGCCCCTGGCGGTGCAGTTTTTTCCAGAGCCCTCAGTGTGTGCCAGACATTCTCCTTTAATCCTCACAGGATGCAGCTTTCATAACCTGGGAATAAATAACCCTGACATGGATACACATGTTTAGACCAGACAGCAGAATAGACTGGCATGTTATGATGGGACTTGTTGGAAAATGTGAGTCAAAGGGAAGTTCTTCTGAGAGAATAGGGAAGAAAGGGTAACAATATTGACTGATAACAGTTTGGAGCCAGCTTTGTTGGACCCTTGACTTATAATAACCTTGAGATTTTGATGTCAATATACCCCCATTTTACAGTTAAGGAAATCGAGGCTCCAAGAGGATAAGTAATATACCCCAGAAACGCAGAAAAGGGAGGAATGGGAATCTAGTATCAACTCAAACATGTAGCATCTTCCCCTGGACCAGTGCTTCTCAATGGCTGCTGCACACATTAGAATCATCTGGAGACATTTAAAAATGATACTGAGGGCTGGGCTCCACCTTCAGAGAATCTGAATCAGTGGGTCTGGAGTAGGGCCGGCACTGGCACTTTTAAAGGTCTCAACCAGGTGACTGGAACGTGCAGCCAGGAGTGGAAGCACAGCCAGACCAGCCCACTCGCAGGACAGAGCTCTGAGATCCTGGAGCACAGTCTCGGCCCAGACCTGACGATAATTGTGCTCAGCTGGCTGCAGGAAGCCAGCACCACTCACTCTCCTCACTCCACCCGGAGAGGGAATGGCTGGTTCTTTCTTCAGCGTGAGTTCAGATGAGTTCATTAACTCATCACCCAACATTCATAGCATCTTGAATATGGATTTTAGGCCATGGCGTCACATCAAGATGCACAAATTTAGGGAATTCCTAAAATCAAATACAGGCCTCATTTCTCCCTGTCGTAGACCAGGAAGTTGAGCTGAAGTTTGCTTTTGACTATTCTTCATAGGTCCTGAGTAGAGGTTTTGGTTCTCTATATTTATTGTTTAAATGGGTACATGAAATGTTTTATGTTTACTTCTCCAAAAAAGCAACATAGAAAATTAAGTTGCTTTTTTTTTTTTTGATGAGGAAGATTTGCTCTGAGCCAACATCTGTTGCCATTCTTCCCCTTTTTTTGCTTGAGGAAGATTAGCCCTGAGCTAACCTCTGTGCCCCATCTTCCTCTATTTTGTATGTGGGTTGCCACTACAGCATGGCTGACGAGTGGTGTAGGTCCGTGCCTAGGATCTGAACCCGCAAACCCGGGCCACCAAAGCAGAGCCCGCCGGACTTAACCACTACACCATGGGGCCAGCCCCTAAGTTGCTCTTTACATATGATTTTTTAAGGAGGAGGAGGCTCAGGCACTTTTATCAAAAACAAAACAAAAACTTTTTCCATCTCAGCCAAAGAAGTTCCCGTGATGTGCAGCAGGAATAAATGTGATTGGCACGCTCTTGGCTCCCCTAATTCCAGGTGTCTTTGATGGTCCTGACAATCTCTCTTCTTGCTCTGATCACAAACCATCTCCATCTCCTGAGTTGGATTAATTTAGACAACATACCTAAGCAGAATGTACCGCTAAATTATCCCACCAATTTAAACCCAGCAGGAGACTAGCTTTTCTTGGTTAAGCCAAAAGTGAAACTGGAAAGGGTGAGTTGGGGATACAATAAGAGGATTAAAGATTAGCTAGGACACATGGTCGGGGAACTGACCTTGGACCAAACGTAAATAACCCCAGCGCAGCTTCCCTGTGCCTACAAAGAGATACCAGGCCCTCAGAGAGGGAAAGGCGAACGGAGAAACAAGTGGCATCCGGAGGGAGGGAGATGTAAAGGAGGGAGGGCAGGAGGGGAAGCAAAGGAGCAGCCCGGAGCAGCTGCTCTGACAGACACAGAGGAGCGACTGTTCGCCATCAGTACCTCTCGCGTTGCGCCGCGCGCGATGGATGTCCTATTCGGCAGAAATAAGAAAGAACAGCTGGAGCCTGTGCGGGCCAAAGTGACAGGTGAGCGTTAGGTGTAAATGACTGGCTCTTCTTTTATGTTTACGTGTGCACTTTTTCCTGTTTATAAAAGTCATACTTGTAAATTATTTTTGGAAAGTCTGGAAAACAGTAGATAGGTGGAAAATGACCCATAATCCAGACACATTCTCCGTGAAAAACTAGGTGTGCTTTTGCACGTTAGAACTCATAGTTTCCAAGGAGAGAGAGTCGTTCTCACTATCTCCAGGGGAAAATCCCAGGAATGCTGCAATCGGCACGTAAACAGTGGGGTGATTCTGCAAAATGTGGCCCATTCCAAATGCGTGATATATTTGTGCATATGTGTGCATCCTAAATTAATTTCAAAATGCTACGAGAAGTGTGGGTGAGCTCCCCACACTGCACAATCACAGAGCCTGACGTGAACTCCACTTAGGTGCCCACAGGTGTGATTCGGCACGTGAGTGCCTGCAGGGCCAGCGAAACAGACCCGGAGCGGGACCCTCTGCAGGAACATCCCCTTAGCCAGCTTTGTGTCTTGTTTATTTCTCCGGCTTTCTCCTCCTCTTCCGCGTCGCCACTTCCTTGGTACCATCTTGTTGAGACTTAAAGGGCAGTGACTGTTCTGAACTCTCAGGTCCCCAGAGCAGCGCTGGCTCAGTGTTCTGAGAACGGTGAGTGGGTCAACTCAGGCACACGGGCACTTTCAGCTTGAGAGAGATGGACAAGGAGAGACAGCAGCGTTCTTGGTGAGACAAGCCAGCTTGGAGCTTTTCAACCGCGGCATTGCCTTGGAAGGCTTTTGAAAGAAAAAATAGCTTTTACGTATACTTTTTGTGACTACAAAAGTAATGTACAATTTATGTCTATCTATGTGTGTATATATTATATGTACACATATGTACAACTTGGAAGTGCAAATGAGAACAGAGAGAAATAAAAATTAGCTATATTCCCATCTCTTAAGCACTATTAATATTTCAGTCTATTTGCTTTAACTTTTTAAGATAGATAGTACAGATTGATTGATAGACTATATATATAAAAAAATTTTTTTTCAAAAAACAAATATACATTTACTATTAATTTTTTATTTTAAAAAAGGGATGCTACAATGCCTGTCCTTTTATGCTCTGGGGTGCCATGAACATTTTGCCATTGTACTTCCCTTTACACCCCATGTTTAACGACTGCATGGAAATCCTTGGAAATTTTAGAAAACAAGACTCCTAGAACCTGTGAACTGAATGGATCCCTAGATCTAGCTGTTCTTGAAGGATGGTCCCCAGACCTACAGCCTCAGCATCACTCGGGCACTTGTTAGAATCACAATTCCCGGGCCCCACTCCAGACCCACCGCATCAGACACTCTGTGGATGGAGCCCAGAAATCTGTGTTTCCACAAGCCCTCTGGGGGCTTCCAAGTGTTAGGACCACAGCTGTCAATCACACCTCCCTGCTTGACAGATGTGAAGCTGAGGGCTAGAGAGGGGCAGCGACGTGCCCAAGGCTAGGCAGCCATTGGAAGACAGGTGACCCTCGTGCAGGCCTCGGGCCCTGGGTCAAGTCTAATCAGGTGGTCAGCATCCATTGGCCAACAGCTAACTAAAGGTTGCGCCTGTGTGGACACGTCTGCCCACGGAGGCCACGCCAAGGCTCTGGCTTCGTGTCAGCTGTGCATTATTGACTGAGACCTTCTTGGCAAGTTACTTAAGCATTTCTTGCCTCAGTTTCCTCTTATGTCAAATGAAGTCAGCATGTACCTACCACAGAGGGTTGCTCCAATGATGAAATAATTTAATCCACCTAGAACACAGTGCCTGGCACATAAGAGCCGATAAATATTCTCATTCTTATATCTGGGGCTCTTCTTATATTCTCAGATTCACCTCTCCCTGCTCTGCCTCACCCGCTCCCTCTCCTGTGTGCTGGGTCAATGTGAGGAGTCCCACCATTCACTTAGTCATCCAAGGCAAGAGACTTGGGGGGGCGTTTCTGAGTGCTTCCCTGCCCTTGGCTCCAAATTTAGTCAAACTCTGAGTCCTGTCAGTTAGTTCTATGTCCTCTGAGTCTCTTTCCGTCCCCATCGCTGCTACCCAGGTCCTCGCTCTGGTCTTCCTACCTCCCCTCAGCTCCTCTCCTCCTCCGCTGCCCACGGTCCATACCATAGTTAGAGACAACTTTTGAAACCCCAAATCTGAGCATATTCCATTTATACAAAATGTCCAGAATAAGTAAATCCGTAGAGGCAGAAAGTAGATTAGTGGTTGCCAGGAGCTGGGAGGAAGGGGAACGAGGAGTGACTGCTCAAAATGGCTGTGGGGTCTCCTTTGGGGATGAAGAAAATGTTCTAGAATTAGATAGTGGTGATGGTTGTACAACATTTTGAATATACTAAAAACCTCTGAATTGTATACTTCAAAATGGTGGATTTTATGTTATGTGAATTTTATCTCAATAAAAAAAATTGTAAAAGAAAAATCTGATGCTGTCATTCCATTATAACCATCAAACGTGTCCCATTTCTCTGAGCAAAATGAAAGCCCTTGGTGTGGTCTTGTTGACCTTTGTCACTTGACCCCTGCTTAACTCTCCAGCCTCATAACTTAATGATATCCTCGCTTGAAAATTATGGTCCAGTTTTACTGGAAACAGCTTGCACATCTGGTCTTTGAACTGGTCTTTGATCTCTTGGTTCAGGTTCCTCTGGAAGTAAGAATTCAGGTGTAAGTAGTTTATTTGGGTTGTGATCCCGAGAAACAGTGGGAGGGAAGCCAATAAAAGGGGCATTGTCAAGCCATTGACCACTGGGACCCATCGGAGCTGAATCCTCTAGGCGTAGCGTAAAGCATGCCTTGCATTGTCCCAGCTGAAGGCAAGGAAGTGGTGGTATTTGTCCCCCAACTCCCCATGCATCGTTGGGTGAGAGCCGCTTCCAAGGGCATTAACCCTCCAGTGCATCCAGCTTGTCCAGTGTGTGGGCAGAGCAGCTCCCACAGTGAGAACAAAGCCCTCAGGCAGAGAGCTGCAGGTATCTGCAGAAAGCAGCCTTCAGGGAGAGGTGAGGGCCAGGGGACACGGGCGGGCCACCAACAGCATCTGCTACAGCCCCCTATCTCTAGAGCAGTGCTGTCCCAGAGAAATATACTGCATGCCACATGTGTCATTTTTAGTCTTCTGATAGCCACATTCAAAAAAGTAGAAAGAGACAGGTGAAATTAATTTTGATAGTATATTTTATTTAACACAGCATATGCAAAACATTATCAGTTCAACATGTAATCAATATTTTAAAAATTGCTAATGAAATATTTTACATTCTTTTCACACCAAGTCTTTGAAATCCAGTTCTCTTCCACGCAGCAGCCTGGGAGAGTCTGTCCATTGCCTTTGTCACAGTGTATTTTGAGTGTCTGTTGATTCCTCCATCTCTGTCTCTCAATGGACGGTGAGCAACTTGAGGACAAGGACAACATCTATTCATCTTGGTATCCTCAGTGCTAGCACAATACCAGGCGTATTTCTGGAAACGAGTAAATGGATGGATGCACTGAGTGGTATTGGGGCTATATGGCCTCAATTCCCTTCCATGGTCATTTCTACTGGCTTTTTGGTTTGGACATGGAAACTGGAAATTGAACATTCTTTCTCTTCATAGGCAAGATTCCAACATGGCTGCAGGGAACGCTGCTTCGCAACGGGCCTGGGATGCACACAGTGGGAGAGACCAGATACAACCACTGGTTTGATGGCCTGGCCTTGCTGCACAGCTTCACCATCAGAGATGGTAAGAACACCGTATTGGTTTGCTGTTGCTGCTGTAACAAATGACCACAAATTCGCTCTTTTTTTTTCTGGTGAGGAAGACTGGCCCCGAGCTAACACCTGTTGCCAATCTTCCTCTTTTTGCTTAAGGAAGATTGGCCCTGAGCTAACATCTGTGCCCATCTTCCTCTATTTTGTATGTGGGACGCCACCTCAGCATGGCTTGATGAGCGGTGCATCAGTCTGCACACAGGGTGTGAACCTGTGAACCCCGGGCCACCAAAGTGGAGCAGACAGAACCTAACCACTACGTCACGGGGCCGGCCCCATGACCACAAATCAGTAGCTCAAAACAACACAAATTTATTCTCTTACAATTGTGGAAATCAGAAATCTAAACTGGGCTTCGCTGGGCTAAAATTAAGGTGTCAGCAGGTCTGCGTTCCTTCTGGAGGCTCCAGGGAGAGACTCTATTTCTTTGCCTTTTCCAGCTTCTAAACTACCTGCATTCCTTGGCTTGTGGCCCCATCTCTGCCTTCAAAGCCAGCAGTGTAGCATCTTGCAGTCTCTCTCTCTGTCTTTTTTTTTTTTTTTCTCTCTCTCTCTCTCTGCTTCTATCAGCACATCTCCTTCTCTGACTCTGACCCTCCTGTCTCCCTCTTATAAGGACCTTTGTGATGACATTGGGCCGGCCCAGACAATCCAGGATAATCGCCTTTATCAAGATCCTTAATTGCATCATATCTATAAAGTCTCTTTTGCCACGTCAGGTAACATAGTCACCAGTTCCACGGATTAGAACATGGTCATCTTGGGGAGGCCATTATTCAGCCCTTCACAAGCACAAACCTCCCTGGAAAGGTGGCCAAGGTTCTTTCTCAAAGAGTTCAACTTGCAAAATAATCAGCGTTCTCTATATGGTGGGCAAGAGCAGCTGGCAGATGACAGGCTTTGGAATCAGACACGCATCAAATCCAAATAGAGAAAACAGAGCTGAAAAGAACAAAGCTGAGTGTATTGCTCAAAAGGCGAGAGAGAGCCATGTCACTCAAGCCACAAGGTCAGTGGCTCTCCCTGAGTGGACATTGAATATCGAGCAGAAAGTAGGAAGGGCCACAAATAAGGCGGAATTCTAAGATCAGGTGACTGGCTCAAGAGGTGGATTGTAAACGCTTTGCTGTTGGCCATTGAGCTGGTTTGTGTCACAACAGCGCGAGGTGAGCTCTTAACGAGGTCCAGGATGGGGTGTGTAAGGCTTTAGTAGGCTCAGGGTCACATGGTGGGCAAGTTTGTGTCCAAGTTCTTCAGCTTGGTGAAATTTTTCTCTAACCCCTGTGTTCCAGCATAGCAGACTATGGTCACCTCGTCTCCCTTGGCCTTTGTATCCTCCTCAGTAAAAAGGGTTTGATCTTCCCCTCTGGAGAACTGTTGTGATGACCAGAGGTACTGTATGTCTAGCAAGGGTCTGCCACCTAGTAGATGCTCAATAGATTAAAAACTACCACCATAGTCACTGGGTTTGAATCCCAGATCCACCATCCTAGCTAATATGCACCTAAGCTGTGTGATCTTGGCCAAGTTACTGACCCTCTCTGTGTCTCAGTCTCCCATCAAGTCGCTTATAAAATGGAGATATCAGTAGCATACCACAGAGAGCAGCTGTGGAATTTAAATAAACTAACATGTGTAAGGAGCTTTGTATAACGTCTGGCACATAATTTGTGCTCAATAAGCATTACCTATTCCCTTTGCCTAACTATTATCTCTTTTAAGCCAGTCAGCAATTATCTTTTGAGTGTAGACTCTATGCTAGTGACTTGCTCCCACATTTCATGAATGGAGACACCGTGTGTGAAAATCATGAGCTCTGAGTTTGCAAAAACATAGAGGTTTTATTGAGACTCAGCTACAGAGTGCGTGGTTCCATATTTCCTGACAGCCCGAAGACTTAGCAATCCCCTCCTTTTCTAGGCAGAGTTGCTAACTATTCCTGGGGAAATGAACGCTGTTCCGGGTGAGGTGTCGGGGAGGGGAAAGAACCAGTGGTTCCTTTCTGTGAGGCCCTGCATCACCAGCGGCCCGGTCCTTCAAGGTCCATTTCCGGTGCTCACATTAACGCTGTGGGGGAGGATTCTTGTCCTGTTTGCAGATGTGGAAATGGAAACTTCAGAGAGGTTGAGTGACTTATCCAAGGGGACCGAGGTAGGGCTGGGATCGGACCTGCGTTGTCCGGAGTTCAAGTTTGCAACCGTCTCCCCTGTCCCCATCCCAACACACACACCCCCCCACCCCAACTACCTGAGAAATAGCAGGTGGCTTAAGTGACCCCTCACAGCTTACTGAGTGGTGGCTCCCGGATCCTTCCCTAGAGACCACGAGGGACAAGGGAACCAGTAGGGGATGACAGAGCCGTGGCTGTCTTGCGGAAGCTTGGCAGTCCACCAAAATCCTTAAATGGGATAAATAAGCAAGTGACCAAGTCATCCCATGCTGTTCAGACTTTTTAAAAACTTCTGGTAGGTTTTCAAACTAAAAGTTCATTGTCAAAGGTGAGTAGCTGTTTTGTATCTTTTATGTGATGGTCAGTCGGTGCAGCCACAAGAGGAGACAAGGAGAGGCTCAGGAGAACAAAGGTTATCATACCCACAGGGGCTGGGGCAGGAGCACACGGTGCCTCACAGGGCCACGTGGGATAACACCAGCGTGGTCAGGAGGCAGCAGACAGGAGTGGGGGAAGGGCTTAGGCCACGGCCTGTGTTGGGGTTCCCATAGCAGGGCACAGGAAACAGTCTAGGATTGGCGAGTTTGAATAATGTCGGCGGGCTTCGGGCTCTAGGGGTGGTCCCTAGTTGCCTGGTACCTGGCCCTGATGATTAAGGCAAAGGAATACTGTGTCCTGGAGCGTATGGACCAGATGGAGGAGGTCTGGCTCTGGGTTGGTTCCTTTGCAAATCAAAGACATGCTGGGCCCTTTGCCACCTCTAGGAATTGGCTAGTCCAGGGAGGTACAGTCTCTCCCCGGCCAGAAGGGTTTCTTAAGATATCAAAACATATAATACACAGAAAATAAAAAGTGTATACAATACCGTAGCATGACAGACTCAGTTCTATTCATAATCTGGAGCTGGCTGCAAGATGAGAAGTATGGAGAGTACACCCAACATCTCGCCTTCCCTGTCCTGCTCTTGAACCTGGCAGGTGTCGAGGGTGCGTGCCCCACTCTGCTTTGCGATGATCAGCTTGCCCTTCTCCAGCACAGGGTGGGAGGCTCCAGAGCGCAGGGTCCCTGTTCAAATGCTTCTATCTTCATCACCTAGCACAGGGTCTGGCCCAGAGGGCACTTGGAAGTGCTTTATGGAGCTGAAATGGCGCAAACAAGATAAAGATGATTTCAGTAGAAGGCAGCAATACTTTTCCAACCCATCTCTTCAACACTCGCTACAGGGGGTGCCTGCTGGCCACTGGCCTAAGTGCTTCATGCCCATCTACAACTCAGCCCTCACTATAGCTCCTGAGGAAGGTACCGCTGTTACTATCTCGATTTTACAGACGAGAGTTTAAGGCCCAGAGAGGCCAAGGAACTTGCCCAAATGCACACAGCTAAGAAGTGGTGGTAGTCAGATATTAACAAATGCTCTCTAAATCCAGAGTCCCGTGTCCTAACCGTTATGTAATTCTGCCCCCATTCCCCGCTTCTGACAGCTCCCATCTCTCCCCATCTCTCCAGTCCAGTCTGCTCAAGGTTGCCAGATTGCCAATGTTGGTGTGTCACAGCCTGGCTTCCTCTGGAACTCTCAATGGCTCCCCATGCTTTAACAGTGGAAATATAAGCCCAAATGTTAGGCACTACTACACACGATTCAAGAGGGCATGCACAGGGCATTCAGGGTTCTCTGATTTGCAGAGAACACAAAGCCAGTAGTTCCCAAAGGGTGGTTTGTGAACCTCCTGCATCAGAATCCCCTAGGATGCTCATTAAAGCTGCAAATCCTGAGACCCTACCCAGGGCTTGAGTGAATTGTAATCCCAAAGGATAGGGACAGAGCTTCTGTGTTTCTAACACTTTTCCCAGACGACCCTGAGCACACACAGGTTTGAGAAAACCAGTGGACCTCCAGCCTGGCTGCCCTCCCACCCAAGACCAAGCTCATCAGAGTGCAGCAGGGTGGGGCTCGGGCTTCTGTAATCTTTTAAAAGCGCCAGGTGATTCCAGTGTACAGCCAGCACAGAGAACCTAAATCAGTGCACGACCAATGAGAAAAGACTTTGGAGCAAGAAAGCAAAAGACAGAAAATGGCTTGTGGCCTTTAGCAGAGGCCAGGAGAAGACAATGCTTTAAAAAACTCACACAGAGTTGAATAAAGAGGCAGAGAGGAGAAGGGGAAGCCGGGTGAAGGGTAGAGGGGAGTGTGCTTTTCTGTAAGGCTAAAGTTATTGCGAAATAAAAAATTTTATAAAGCAGGCATAGAGATGAGTGAACCCAGGTCTCCCTCAGCAACATATTCGATAATTTTCTAATGAGAGGAAAAGTTGTCCCACGAGGATTTGAACATGCGAATTCCAAGAGCCAGAATCACCAAGATTTAGAGGCAAAAAGAGCTCTGAGAATTTAACCTTTCCAAAGCTGACTTTTCCAATTGTTGTAGCTCCAAAGTAGCCTTTTGGAAAGTTTGTTTTGGAAAAAAAAAATATATATATATATACACAAACACACACACACATATATACATAAATATATGTCTTCATGCGTGTATATATATATGTGTGTGTATAGATCTCTCCCCCTCCTCCCAAACTATCAAACTTGACCTAGTTCTGGAAGCTCCCAGGCAGAAGCTTATCTGTTTACTTGTGTCCTGTTAGAAGGAATGTGGCTAATTGGGTGCCCGTGAGCGGGATGGTGGGGAACGCACGGTCCTCAAAGTCGAGTGTCAGCCTTGAGCAATTCCAGAGACACATTTCCCTGTGGCCCCCCGAGGGCTCCGTGCTCTGGGGCTGGTTGTTTATAGGAAACGGGCCGCCTGACGACAACCAGCCTGGGCTGGGTGTTTACATTTCAAGTGAACAGAATTCAGCATTTTAGGCAAAGCACCGCAGGATCCAAAGCACCTTAGTCCGTGTGTGTGGGTGGCGACCCTCAGAGACGGACCAGCAAAGGGCAGGCTGGCTCAAGGGGAGACCGCGTGGCCCTAAAGCAGATTCTGTGTAGCACATGGCTAAAGACCAGTGTGTGTGGCCTCAGCAACCCCAGATGAGTCTTCCTGCCTCCAGGTTTTTGTTGGACAACCCAGCAGCCATCGCTTACCAAGTGCACACTGCGTGCCAATGGGCCAAACTCCTTACATCATCCCGTCTCATTTAATACTGCCAGCCCCAGTTGGGGAGGGCTGTGATCTTCAACTTCCAGTTGAGAAAACTGAGGTTGAGTCAGATGAAGAGACTCGCTCAAGGTCACACAGTTTGAACTGGGACTAACCCTGGAGCCAAAGCCTTGCCCACTCTCCCTACTGCATCTCAACAGCGTATGTGGCTTTTATTGAGCACCTACTATGCGCTGTGTGCTTTACAGGCTTCAGTGTCGCAGCAGCTCTGTAAGGAACATGTGATCCTCGCGTCAGAGCAGAGGGGGCTGAGCCTTGCCTCTGACACAAGCTCAAGTGCATGGCTGGTGTTTGACAGAGCAAGGATTCACACCTGCATGGAGACTTCAATCTCCTCAGGGGTGGAGATCTTGCCTGTCCTGTTTGCCATTATAGCCCCACCTCCTGGCCCCTCAAGGTGTTTAATAAATACTGATCGAATGTGTGAACCCAGCACACTGTTAACCCCAGAGCCCCGGCCCCTGACCATTCCTTCATATTTCTTCCTGCTGCCCCAGGAGCAGAGCTCCCCCTACTGAAATATCTCAGAGGCACGTATTCACAGTAGCCACCTCGAAAAGATGTTTCAGAAGAGGATAGACAATTATCTGCCCCTTACGGACACACGATTTACCTCCCAAAGACTGGAGAAAGAACTAGAAGGTCTTTCATGGTCTCTTCCAATTTTATTATGATTAGCATTACCGTCGTTATTATTATTTCCGCCTAAGTGCACAGGTGAAGTCATTACCTCTGAAACATCCACTCACCTCCTTTGGAAATGGACGGGAAGACACAACCCCAAGAGCAAATCTAGTTGAGGCTGTTAGAAGTCAAGATAGTGGCTCCCCTGGTGAGAGAGAGGCTAGAGACTGGATGAGATATGAGGGGGCTTCTCATGTTCTATTTCTTGATTGGGACGTTGTTTATAGAGGTAGGTTCAGTTTGTGAAACTTCATCAAGCTGTACAGTTATGGCAGCACATTTCTACAGGTATATTTTTAATAACAAGTATCAGACAGAATGGTCATACTGACTGTGGTCGCTGTGTCAGAATCTTTGAATCCAGCTTACCACTCACTAGCTGAGTGACTTAAGGCAAGGTACTTAACCTCTCTGTGCCTCAATTGTATTAGCTGAGAAACGGGTCTGCAGGGCCATTGAGCGCCTAAGCCCTTTGTACTTCATGTGCTAAGAAATTTTAAACCTTCAAATGTTGTTTAAATTTTGTTTTATTTTGTGATTAATTAGCAAATGACATTATGTTGATTTTTTCCCTACAGAACACATTTCTGGTTGGAGCATTCTATACACTTCCAATGTTCTGAGGATTAAACCAGATAATACACAAAGTGCCCACACAGTGCTTAGCACACACATACTCAGTAAAAGTTAGCTCTTAGTTCTATTTCCTTTTCTTAAAATATAAAAAGACACTAGGCAAGAATTTCTTGGAATATGTCTCTCCTCTAAGCCCGTCATTGTGGCAGTGGACGTATGATGGACATTTCTCTGATCAGCTTTTTTTATGGGAATGAAATGTTAGTATGTCCTGAGCTCTATTGTTTGCGTTTTTTTTTTTTTTTAAAGATTTTATTTATTTATTTATTTTCCCCCCAAAGCCCCAGTAGATAGTTGCATGTCACAGCTGCACATCCTTCCAGTTGCTGCATGTGGGACCCGGCCCCAGCATGGCGGGAGAAGCGGTGCGTCGGTGCGCGCCCGGGATCCGAACCCGGGCCGCCAGCAGCGGAGCGCGTGCACTTAACCGCTAAGCCACGGGGCCAGCCCTTTTTGCGTATTATAATTGTAGCAATATGAGAAGCGTATATTATACTAAAGCAAGGAATGTGTTCTTTGCGAGGGAAAAAATCAAACATAATGTCACTTGCTAATTAACAACAAAATAAAATAAAACAAAACAAATCCAGAGGTTTCAAATTGTCCACCAAATGAAGTTCAAAGGCTTTGGTATTCACAGCCCCGCAGACCCGGTAGGGCCCCCACCCCACCCTCATCTCATTCCTGCTGCTCCCAAGCCCCTACCTGGTGCTCCAGCCCACCCTGTCTCAGCTTCTATGGGAAGTGGGCTGCATTTCCCACCTCCAGGCCTTTCCTTACAGACTTTCTGGGAAGAGTGAATGGGAATGCCCTACTCTGTCTCCTACTCCTGCCCCCTCAAGCTATCGTGATCAAATTTCACTCATTCTTCAAGGGCTATTTCAAGTACCACCTCCTCCATGAAGCCTCTCCTGATCCATCCATTCCCAGCTGAGCCTCCTCTGCTCTCTCCTCCCCTCTCCCCTCCTCCCTTCCCTCCCCTTTCTTTCTCCAGAAGGAACCTGTGAATATGTTACATGTTACTCTACCAGTTAAAAGGGTCTTTGCTGACATGATTAAGTTAAAGACCTTGAGATAGGAGATTTTCCTGGATCATCAGGGTGGGCTCAGTGTAATCACAGAGTTATCTCAAGGGAAAGAGGAAGGCAGGAGGGTCAGAGTCAGAGAAGATGTGACAACAGAATCAGAGGTCAGAGTGATGTGGCCACAAGCCAAAGAATGGCAGCAACTTCTAGAAGCTAGAAAAGCAAAGAACAGATTCTCCTCTGGAGAAGAGAATCTAGCCCTGCTGACGCCTTGATTTTAGCCCCATAAGCCCCATTTCAGACTATGTCTTCCAACATGGTAAGATAAATTTGTGTTGTTTTAAGCCACTAAGTTTGTGGTCATTTGTTACAGCAGCCATGGGAACCTAATAAAGGTCTAGAACCATCTGGTGTATTTTCAGGTTGGTCTTGATGGATTGGTCAAGAGTCCTGCTTTTATGCAATGAGTTGGATTCTCTCCAGTGTCTAGATGAACTAGACATCAGTCCACGTACCAACCCCCTACCATGTGCAGAATTGGGTGTTAGGTCACCCTCCGGTTGTAGTAGACATCAAATGTTACTCCAGGGGCCGACATTGTCCATGTAGGGTTCCCAGGACTGAACCAGGCCCTGGGGAAACCCAGCCCAAGTGTGAGGCATTCTGGACCAGTCCTCCAAATCTGGACCTTATCTGGAGGGATACCAACATGGTGGAAGGGATGGTCATGGCCTGGATCAGCACCTCTTGGCTGGGTGACACTGGGCAAGGTGATTGAACTTTCTGAGCCGCAAGTCCTTCATACATAAAATGGAGCTAATAGGAATACTTACCTTGTCACATTGTTGTGAGTCTCGAGTGAGGGAGTGTGTGTGACAGCACACTCCCAATGCTCATTGTATCCGGCACACACATTAAAGGGAACTGTCCTGATGGACTCACCCCGCCTTCCCCCCTTAAAACCTCCGGAATGGCTGAAATCAACTTTAAAGCCCTGTAAAGGTGTCAGCCTGGAATGATTCTGCCGCTTCTCTTTCAGGGGAAGTCTATTACAGGAGCAAATACCTGAGAAGTGATACCTACAACGCCAATATCGAGGCGAACAGGATCGTGGTGTCAGAGTTTGGGACAATGGCCTATCCGGACCCCTGCAAAAACATATTTTCCAAGTAACTGTCCATTTTGAATCTGGTCATGCTTCTCGATATCCTTGATGATCAAAACAACCAGCATTCGCTTCTCTGACCATTCTCTTTAGGGTGGATGGAAAGCTTCATGTGATTGCCTTCGCTCATATACACTATGCAGTTCTTGATCACTGATAGCAAGAGAGGCAAAGAGCGTCTGACAGATTATTAGATATTCTCCCACATGGCAGGTGGGAGAGCAATCTGGAACTATCTATCTAAATTACCAATGCACATTCCCCTCAGTGTAGAGATACACTTGCTTGTGTCTGAAATGACAAACGTACAAGGTTATTCATGGCTGCATTATTTGTTATAATGAGGAAAATAACCCCAATGTTCTTCAACAGAGGAGTGGTTAGATAAATAACAGTAAGACCACACAAGAAAATACCAGGCCGAAGTAAAAAGGAATGAGGACACTCTCCACATACTGAATGGAAAGATTTCCAGGATATACTGTTAAGTGGAAAAAGTATATAATATGCTATATTTCATCTAAAAAAGCAAGAGGAAGTCTAGATTTATTTTTATTTTATTTTGGTGAGGAAGATTGGCCCTGAGCTAACATCTGTACCCAGCTTCCTCTACTTTGTATATGGGACCCTGCCACAGCATGGCTTAATGAGCGGCGTGTAGGTCTGCACCCGGGATCTGGGCCCACGAACCATGGCCACCAAAGCAGAGTGCACAAACGTAACCACTATGCCACTGGGCCAGCCCCTATATTTATTTTCACTTGTATGTGCATAAGGAAACTCAAAGGATATATAGGGAGGTGGGAAATTGACAAATGGGGGAAAGGATAAGGAAGGATTTTTAGTTGTATGTATTTTAGATGATCTGGGTTATGATGCATATGAATGTATTACATATTGGACAATTAAATAAAATTGTTGGCCAGGGGATCAGGCCTGCCATCAGTATCTCTTTTATAACACTCTTTAGACATAGAGTTATGAAATGTTTGGGGTAGACTGGCCCAGAGATGGAAGATTACTTCTGCTTTTCCAGAACTGACATCATCTCTCCAGTTCCAGTATCCACTGCTGGGGCTGGCACACAGCAAGTGCTGAAGTCACATTTGCAGATGGGGGAGGAGCCAGGGAGAAGGGGGGAGGGGGCCAGAATAATTTTAGAGCCACAACCTGTGAGGCATCCTTGCTGTTACACTATTTGCCGGTAGGGAGAAAACTACCAATACATGGATCCAGGATTTTTATTTCCTCCTGCTTTGAGTTTGCCTTCTAATCAAATTAATTATGAGTTCCTAACTCATAATTTGTTTGCTTTCCTTTTTTAAAAAACTAATTTCCTGGACAAATTTGAGGTAACCAGTATGGACTCACTTTTCCGCCAAAAGTGGGGATTCGCCATTTTGCTAGTCTTTGGGGGTCATTATGGGTACATGTATGATTTCTGTGGAACTTCTTAGAATACTTCAGAACAACTCACCAGCTCTTGCTGGCTTTGGTGAGGGAGACCTTTGGATTTTTGAGAGCCCAGGAGGGCTCAGCTGGTGGCCACTCTGTCCCGGCTGATTCACTTCTTAGCTGATTCAACATGGTGGTATCTTTGGGCAATTTGGTATCTGAGTCCTCAGGATTCCACCAAGTGACCAATTGGGATGCAGTGCTTTTTCTCCTTTAGTTGAAATAGAGCATTTTTAAGTGGTAGGAAAAGTAAAGTCATCTCAAGCAGAACGTTCTAGCTGGGTGCACACAGCCCTTGACCCCGTTGTTTGTTTTCCTCCCCAGAGCTTTCTCCTACCTGTCCCACACCATCCCCGATTTCACAGACAACTGCCTGATTAACATCATGAAGTGTGGAGAAGACTTCTATGCAACCACAGAAACCAATTACATCAGGAAAATCAACCCACAGACTCTGGAAACCCTGGAGAAGGTATCAGCAAATCTACAACTGGCATCACTTCCTGAGTCATGAAAGGGACCCCGTGAGCGAGGCCATGTGGCCCGCAGGAACTCACTGGAGGAGCCCCCTCCTCTAATGCCCTTGGATCTTGGGCTTCCCTAGTGCAGTACTTAGCACAAGATTCTAAACTCCCTTCGGGCAGGGACTGTGTTTCCTCTTTGTCTGTATTGTTCCTAGGGCTCCCATAACAAATTACCACAAACTAGGTAGCTTAAAACAACAGAAATGTATTCTCTCATAGTTCTGGAGGCTGGAAGTCTGACATCAAGGTATCAGCAGGGCCGTGCTCTCTTTGAAGGCTCTAAAGGAGGATGCTTGCTTGCCTCTTCTAGTTTCTAGTGGTTGCCAGCACTCCTTGGCTTGCAGATGCATCACTCTAGTCTTTTATAAAGGTATAAATCATTGGATTAAGGCCCACCCTAATCCAGCATGATTTCGTCTTACTTTGATTACATCTACAGAGACCGTATTTCCGTTAAGGTCACATTCACAGATGCTAGGAGTTAGGACTTCAACATATCTTTCTTTTTGGAAGACATCATTCAACAAATGACAGAGTCTATAGTCCTTGGCCCTGAGTGGGAGCTCAGTGGGAGACTGAATGCATGACTGTACCGGACTGCCCAAGGCTCCCAGCAGCCTTACCTCATACTGACCTGAAGAGGGAGGCATTAGGCAGAGAGCAAGGGTACAAAAATAAATGCCCAAGCAGATACCTTTCCTGGGCAGAATCAAGTCAACATTTTCGTGAAAATCAATAGACCCGCTTTCAGTTTTCTCCAGCTGGCTATTTGAAGCCTTGATGTCTTCGCGAAACATCTTACTGATCTGTTAAAGGGAGTGCTTTTCTTAGCTGTGAAATTATGGCCAGCTCCTTTTCAGCTAGGCGGCTTAGGTCCAACTGACATATGCTTTCCACAAAGCTACAGAGAGGAAACACTGGGAGAGAACGGAGCATTGCCTGACTCTTGGCAGGAGGTTGCACTATTCTGGGGGAGGAAGGGCCGGCAGTTGTTCCCCGCCCGGCTATCCCATCGTTCTACGGTTGTGGCCTGTTCGTAGCGGGGGTCATTACTGAGCTTGTTAGTCTAGTGGCTTTGGCCAAACGTTTTTGTAACCTCTCCATTCCCAGAATAATCCTATGAGAGAGGCCCGGAGATTTATGCCTCTGTGGAATGCAAAAGGAGAGAATTTAAATGATTTAACTAGAAGGGCACAGAGCAGTGGCCAAGATTAGCTCTAAGGCTGCCTCTCTGCCCCTGTCATTGCTCAGAGCTCTCTGCAGTGAGGTGTCCTGTCTCCATGCTGAGGATCCCAGCAGGGCCAAGGGCAGGATCAGAACAACCACCACGGAAAACACACGCAGCTCACCAGCTCCCCCTGCAACTTATTGGCTATAGGAGGGCCCCTGTGAGGTTATATCAGGTCACAAGAGCAAACATCCTCTTTAAAGGTGAAGTCTGCCTTATTTTCAGATCAGGAGATGTGCAAAAATATCCATCATCTCTCTGAACCTAGAATCAGTCAGCTTGTCACAGGATTTCATCCTTTCCCCTTTTTAAAACCAGGTGACTGTCGTACTTTGCAGGTTGATTATCGCAAATACGTGGCTATAAATCTGGCAACATCACATCCTCATTATGATGCAGCTGGAAATGTTCTCAACATGGGCACTTCCATCGTAGACAAGGGGAAGACAAAATATGTGATCTTCAAGATCCCTGCCACGGTACCAGGTTCGTCATTCTGGGGATGTAATAAAGCACAGACACCAAGGGTGGCTCCTTCCAAACAGTTCTGATTTTAGCTGATGACACAAGATTGAACCTGACACTTGCCCTCATAGATGATTCAGATGACCATGAACTCACTTCTCCTTTAGGAGAAAAGAGGAGTTACTGGACTTCCTCTTAGAAGAGGTGAATTCCTTTACTATTCTCACGCCCTTTTCTTTAGGCTCCATTTCGTTAATTCATTACTTTATCTGTCATTTATCTATCATCAACCTATCAGTCTATCCATCCAACTGTCTGTCTATCCATCCATCCATCCGTTTATCCTATTTTAACCTTTTCTTTAGGCTCCAGTTCATTAATTTATCCATCATCCACCCATCATCCAGCCAGCCAGCTAGTCATACACTCATCCAACCTTCCCACCCACCCACCCATTCATCCATCATCCACCCATTCATTCACCCACTCACCCTTCCTTCCTTCCATCCATCTAGTCATTTTTGCAGTCTTCTGACAAACCTTTGTATGTCAGCACTGTGCCATCCACTTTCTTCTCAGCTCCTAAAGCCAGGCTCCCAGGGTGTTCAAGGAGCTCAGTCCTGCTGGGTTATACTCCAGATTTCCACCGTATTCTCTGGGCCTTCTGGACCTTGTCCATTTAGGGCTGGGATCCTGGAGTGAAGCCCAGGCCAATTGTAATTGCATGTTCCTGAGGCGGAGGAGGGCGGGGCTCCTAGTCCTTATTTGTTCAGGACCCTCCTGGGAACCACACCCAGGAGACCAGGCCTCTGAGGGCAGCTGGAGACAGTGCAGAATCACAAAGTTGGCTGGCCTGACCTTCTGGTTTATGAAAACTGGTTTCCATCTGTGATCTCTGCTGGCTCCCCTACCCCCACAGTCCTGTAGAACCTTCTGAGCAACTTACCAGGCTCTACTAACAGATGTGAGTCCCCGAGGTCAGAAGGTACAATAAGTATTCTTGTTAAATGGAACTCCTGTTAATTAAGCCAATGAAGGGATATAGGGTCTAGCTTGGAATCCTAGAGCATCAGACCTGCAAATGATCTAGGCGTTTGAGTTTGCCACCTCATATTGCAGAGGAGGACTGTAAGACCCAGGGGGATCAGGTGACATGCCCATGGTCACGCAGCTTACAGGAGCCACCAATATCATGCAAGCAGCTCCCCTGTGAGCACCTGCTTCGTGCTGGTGGCTTCCCTAGGATTCATGCCCATCTCCTGCCTCCCAGGCCAGGGTGCTTTTCATTTCGATTTGCTTTGTGCTCCATTTATTTTGTGAAGAAAAGAACTAACCCATAACCCAACAGCATCCCTCCCACCAGCCATCTGTTTACAGTGTGCGCAGGTGGCCACAAGAAAGGTGGGGATGCTTACAGATAACTCATTATAAACCAGCCCCAGGCCTGGGTGGGGAGGCCTTTTGGCCAGTGGGTGACTCATCCCTGCAGAGGAATAAGAAGACCGAACATATACTGAGCACCTTTGGTGTCTGGGCGAGGTACTCAGACTACTCTGTGTTTTCATTCTGTTCTCTCCCTTCACTCTGTGTTAGAATCCCTAATAACAGAGGAGGTAGCCAGGCTAGGCATGCTGTCTTCTTGGCTTAGCCTTGTGCCTTTGGCCGTAATGATAGACCATTCCACCAAGCCTCAGTTTCCCATCTGTAAAATGGGAATCATACAGCCTACCTTGATCATCACAAAATATGAAAAAGCCCCTCAACACGACAGGTACATAGTCTCATTCCCAGACTGGGCATGAGAATGGGCAATGCCGAGAGAAATGGGTGGAAACCCTATGAAATACATGTCAAATGATGGTTCTCAGAGAAATATCAAAGCTTAAGCCCGGGAAGCTGGCCCATCACCTGGGAGTTTGATAGAAATGCAGAACCTCAGGCCCCAGCCCCGCACACTGAGTCAAACTCTGCATTCTGTCATGATCCCCAGATGATCCCTATGCACATTGAATTTGGAGAAGCATTGCTCCAGAGCAGGGGTTGGCAAACGTTTTTTGTAAAGGGCCCAAGAGTAAATATTCGAGGCTTTGCAGACCCCACGGTTTCTGTCACAACTACTCAACGCTGCCTTGCAGCTCGGAAGCGTAAGCAGTTCCCCCTGCATAAAGGAGGGAGCGTGGCTGTGTTCCAAATGAACCTTCATTACAAAAGCAGGTGGAGGCTGCATTAGCCCGAGGCTGTAGTTACAGACTCCAGCCCAGAGGTCCAGTGGTTCAGCGGTTTCAGATTGTAGAGCCGGGTCTCCCCAGGGGGTGGGCCTAAGTGGGAAGGGCTCCGAGCCTCTACTCCTGTGTCAGCCGGGCAGCAACCCCTCCATCCAATTTTGGTTTGCTTGTTGGCTCTTATTCGAAGCTTCTTCTTAGCACCATGTCAATCTGAGAGGCTCAGCTGCAGGTGACGGTGGCATTGTCGGGGGTGGGGGGCAGCCAGGTCCTGCTGTTCCTGAGGCTTGCTTTTCTCTAGAGGACAGGAAGAAGGGGAAGAGCCCCTTGAAGCACACAGAGGTGTTCTGCTCCATCCCCTCCCGCTCTCTCCTCTCCCCGAGCTATTACCACAGCTTCGGATTCACCGAGAACTACATCATTTTTCTGGAGCAGCCTTTCAAGATGGATATCCTCAAGATGGCGACTGCGTACATGCGGGGAGTGAGCTGGGCTTCCTGCCTGGCCTTCCACAGGGAGGACAAGGTAAGGACCTCCAGCCCCGCTGGGCTGGCAGGCCCTGCAACATGAGGACAGCCAGAGGGAGGTGTCCCCAGAAGCAGACTCTGAGATGGAGGTAAACATGTAGGAGATTTCTTAGGGATGGAGGAAGTGAGCTACCATGCAGTCTCCCCGGAGACATCAGCCAGCCTTCCAGAGAGTTCTGAAGCTGGGATGGTTCTTCAGCGTGGTCCTGAGTTAGGGCAAGGGGGCAGGGCCTTGATGCCCCCAAGTCAATAAGTCAATAGAGCAGACTGTCCTTGGAAGGGGTTGTGACCTGGGGCAAGACGGGTCTCATCAGCCAGGCAGTCCCCACAGCCCATCAGCAAGGGGCTACTCCTCAGTCCTGACGGGTATCTGGGCTCCTCCAGCCTCCACTGTCCATTGACACAGCCCTTACAGCATCCCTGCCAACACTGTGTAAGGTCAGGGGGGAGGAGGTGCCGTAGATTATTTAGACATCGTAATGATATAGCGTTCCTCCAGAAGGTACGACAGAAACATCTTCAATTTACATACACATGAGTGCTCAAAGTATGTATGTATGCATGCATGTGTGTGTGCATATGTGTACGTGTGCCTGTATAGACGTATGTGTACATGTATATGTGTGTATGAATATATGCATGCATGTATATGTTATGTGTGTATTTACTTGCTGTTGTTACTTGTGAAAAATATCAAGTAATTCTCAGTGTCATCTACTCAAATAATACGCAAGTACAGAAAGCAACGTGTCAAGTCCCCTCCGCACATCCCTGTCTGCTCTTCTCCTCGCCCCTGACACTCCCCTCTCCAGAGGGGACCACCACTGTCCACGTGACCTCCCTCTACCCTCTTCCTGTGCATCACATACGTCTTTATGTACGTGTACAAATAAGCACCCCGTTTGTGTCTGGCCACCCCTTTAAGGCCTATTCTTCCTTCTCAGGGAGGAGAGTGAAGTACTTGAGGGATCGAAGGGGTTAGATGAGGTCCCTCCTCTGCTCAGCACCTTCTAGTGATTTCCCATCTTCCTTGGAATAAGACCCAAAGGCTTCACTCACCTGCCTTAGGTTCCCACATGCCCTCGTCCCGCCATTGGCTCCCTGCTCAGCCTCCTCCTGTACCTCCAATCAGCCAAACACGTTCCTGCCTCAGGGCCTTTGCATTTTGTGTCCCCTCTGCCTGGAATGTTCTTCCCCAGATGGCTTCCTCCCCGGATTAATCTAGGTCTCGGCTCAACGTCCCTGATCTCTGAGGCCTTCCTTGATGAACTTTCCTATAACAGACCGCCCCCCATACTTTCTCCATCCCCTCTGCTGCTTCGTTTTTCTCAGTAATGCTCATCGTCCTTGACACATGATATATTTGATCGTTGACTGTTGGCTTTCCCCACACTGGAACATAAACCCTACCAAAGCAGGAGCTTGGTTTTATTTTCTCTCTTCAGTTCCTGCAAAAGTGACTGATGTGTCGTGGGCCCTCTATAAATATTTGTGGAATGAATGAGTGGGGCAAGGGGCCAGCAGGGAAGCCAGCTGAAGTTGGGTTTGCTCTGCAGCCATTTCCCAAACATGGCTGAGGAGCGTCCCATTGGCAGGCACTTCAGGGCCCTTCTAGGCTTCCAGTCTGTGGCCCTTGGGGATTCCCTGGCCTCGGAGAGTCCCATGGTGAGAAGGGTTAGCGCCCCCAGGGACACGGCTGAGAGCCCGGGGAAGAGCTTTGGAATACGTGTGGAAGAGAACTTTCTGAAAAGTCCCCGTGGCTGACCCAGGGATTGGGGTCATGGCAAAGAAAAGGCCTAAAGAGAGAGGCAAATAAGCCGGGAGGAGGTGGCAAAAGAACAGCCTGGAGTAGTCCCTCCCTCCATTTCAGAAGGAGGGGGGTTAGGCCAGGACTGCCGAAAGAAAAAAAACACCACGCCCTTTTGGATTAGGCAACGGGGCTGCAGATACGGCTAATTACCACCCCGAGTGATGCCACCTCGTGACACCCAGAGATGTGTGCAGATGCCTAATGAGCTGGTACCTACGTAGGCTCCTTAACTAGTACCAGGCACTATAGCCCTCCAGGGCAGGGGGCGTTGTTGTGACAACCGCATCCAGGCAGAGGTCTGCGATGGTGGAGGTCGGAGGGAGGACTCAGAAGGGCAGGCGTGGTTTGGGGGTTTTAGGGGCTTCAGCTGTGGTTGTAGCCCAGGAGGCCTAGAATGCTGGCACCTGGCAGGTTCTCCCCAACTTGGCCATTGCCAGGGAGCTGGCATGTCACCGCCCAACTGGAGTCACAGTCAAGTGAAGGGGGTAGGGGGACAGAGGACTGTCAGGGGTGCACTGTCCTCCTGGTGAGGCAGGGGACCCAGCAGCAAAGCTTCCCTCCTCCTCCATCTGAGAGATGCAACTGACAGCCCCCATGTACTCAGCGCTTCTGAGGCTGGCCCTCTGGAGGTGCAACACAGAGTCAGAACAGGGAAGGAACACTCCAGGGTCATGAGCTAGTGCATGGCAGGGCTGCCTTCTCCCGACCCCGAGGCCACAGCGCCGGGCCAGCAGAGGCAGAGCTGACCACTGGGTGTGCATCTTCTTTCAGACTTACATTCACATCATTGACCAAAGGACCAGGAAGCCCGTGCCAACCAAATTTTACACAGACCCCTTGGTGGTCTTTCACCACGTCAACGCCTATGAGGAGGACGGCTGCCTTCTGTTTGACGTCATCGCCTACGAGGACAGCAGTCTGTATCAGCTCTTCTACTTGGCCAACCTGAACCAGGACTTTGAGGAGAACTCCAGGCTCACCTCCAGCCCCGCCCTCAAGAGGTTCGCCGTGCCCCTGCACGCGGACGAGGTAACGGCCCGAAAGAGGCCCATTTCAGTCCCCAGGGACGTGAGCCCACCTAGGAAGTTGCTTTGCCCCTTATTTGATTGACACTGAAATCCAGAATGAGCTGTTCTTAAAGGAAGACAGAAACGTTTTCCATTATTTTTCCAAAAGTGGCACATATTCATAGTAGAAACTTGAGAAAATCTAGATTAAGTAAAAAGCAAAAGAAAATCCCTGTAAACCCATTGTGAATATATTTGTATCGCCTTCTAAGTCTCTCTTTATCTCCATATGGATAGATAGATAGATAGATATAGATCTATAGAGAGATACATATATATACATATTCATATATATTGATATATGTGTATACATGTTGATTTATATCAATAAAGCTATTAAAAATTATAACAGTATGATTTCCTTCTCTAAAATTAATACATATAAATTCTAAAATAGGGGCCGGCATGGTAGCTTAGTGATTAAGTTCGCACAATCTGCTCCAGCAGCCCGGGATTCGCAGGTTTGGATCCCAGGTGCAGACCTACGCACCACTTATCAAGCCATGCTGTGGCAGTGTCCCATATAAAGTAGAGGAAGATGGGCACAGCTGTTAGCCCAGGGCTAATCTTCCTCAGCAAAAAGAGGAGGATTGGCAACGGATGTTAGCTCAGGGCTAATCTTCCTCAAAAAGAATAAATAAAATAAAAATAATATAATATATAAATATAATTATATAATATATTAATATATTCTAAAATAATATATTAATATATATTTAGAATATATGTGTACATATATATTAATTTTAGAGAAGGAAATCATACCATACATAACTTTTAACAGCTTTATTGAGATATAATTCATATACCATACAGTTCACCCATTTTCACTCATTTAAAGTGTAAGACTCAATGGCTTTTATTATATTCACGGTTGTACAACCATCACCACAATCAATTTTAAAACATTTTCATTACCCCAAAAAGAAATCCCATACCCCTTAACCATGACCCCCGAATCCTTCCATACCCCCAGCCCTGGGCAGCCACTAATCTGCTTTCTGTCTCGGAGGATTTGCCTCTTCTGGCCATTGACACACATGGAATCACACGCCGTGCGGTCTTTTGGGGCGGGCCTCTTTCACTGGGCATGACATCGTCAAGGCTCACCTGTGTTGTAGCAGGTGTCACTACGTCACTCCTTTTCATGGCTGAGTACATGCATCCTATTTTGTGTATGCTTTTTCAGCTATTTGCATATCTAAAGATCTCTCCATGACGTTAATTATTCTTCTGCGACATCATTTTACTATTTGTCCGGCAGTCCACAGCAGGGATCCGTCACCGTTGGCTTACTCAATGCCCTGCTGTTGAACAGTCCCGGTCTTGCATTAAAAATGACCACAAGGCCAGACGTTCTCCTCAATTAGGGTGACGCTGCCAAGCCTCCACACTTGGTTTCGAAGGCTACAGAGGCTTCTGGCTCCAGAACTCACTGACTTCATGACTTAATTAATTTAAATGAAACCAAATTCAATTCAATTCCATTTTGATGGCTCCTATTTACTAAATGCACTCTATGTGCCAGGTACTTTGCTAAGCATTTTATTTACCTTACCTCACTTCACAGTCAAAACAACCTATGGGAGAGGTCCTCATATTGGCCTCATTTTACAGATGAAGAAACTGAGGCTCAAAGAGGTTAAGGAATGTGCCCAAGGTCACACAGCCCAGAGTGGCAGAGCCAAGATTGGTGCTTGCACCAGCTGTCTTATACCTGTGGGTATAACTCTGCTGTTCTCTCCAGCAACCTAACTCCTGGAAAGAGCCCAGATGGGTCACACTGACCCCTCTTGGGGCTCTGCAGGCCTGGCGAATGGAGCACACTCCTACAGAAGGCCCAGGGAGCCTTCTCCCACTCCACTGCCCGACTCCTCAATGCAGGGGTCCAGGCATGCTCCCAGCCAGTGAGCGGGGCCTGCATTTAAACCTGGGTTTGTCTGACTCCAGAGTTGTGGTTCTTCCCTGTCTCTCCAGTATTTCCCATCCCTGGTCACCTGTCATGATTTTTACCATATTTCCTATCACCTCTATTTAACATTTACAAGCCACATTTTTATTTAAATCAACTCCCTCTTTACTTAACTCATTTGGAGGGAAACATATCACGACCCCATGGAGAGCCAGCTTGGCTCACTGCAGAGAGAGACAAGCAGGAGCATGAAGCAGAGGTCCTCAGCTCTAGCTGGATACTGTCACTTGCCAAGACCCGACCTCTGTTAAAAAGAACCTTTCCAAAGTATTAGGTGTTAAAGACAGTGGCACCTAACTGAGACTCTCTCCTTGACCCAGTTGGAAAGAATGAAAGAGAAAAAGGAATTAATTTTCCCCCCAGGTGATCCAGGGCTATTGAATGAACCGCCATGTCTCACAAAATCGTCACATGGGCCACTGGCTCTGCGCCCCTCGTCTGGGAAGTCCCGCAGTGAGGTTCCTTGGACTGTGTCTCCAGGTTCCAGGCAGCAGTGGGGTGTCAGGGAGCCCCACCCCCGCCTTACACTGACCTCAGCTGGGGTTGATACACAGAGAGGAAACACTCCCTGCCACTGCCCACACCCCCAGGGACTGTACAACCTTTTATCACGCTCGAGAAGCGATTTGCTTCCCTGGAACCAAGCTAAGAAGTTGAGCGCATATATTTTTAAAAGGCGCCAGGGGAGCCATCTGCCCTTTTGAAACGAGCAAAGAAGAGCAAGCCCTGGGAAGAGTAGCTCTGGCCACGCTTTTTAATTGCTATTTATTGTCCCTTAAAAATGTCTTCTGGCTTCACTTTCAAGTCGCCCCGCCTGCATATTGAAATCGGGAAGTCGGGCAGATCTGCAGCTCCTATTCCGTCCTACCCAAAGGCTTGTTAGGGAAGGATCACGGGAGAGGTTGCCCTTTCTCAAATGCCCTTCAGTTTGGGGCCTTTGCACGTCCCTGTCCCCCTGCCTGCAACCCTGTCTTCCCATCAGACTCCACTCCAGTCCTGGCTGCTGGTTGGACTCACGCAGGGGCTCTGAGACCCACCCATGCCGGGCTTCAGCCCAGACCAAGGAGGGCAGAACCTCCAGGGGTAGGGCCCAGGGGTGGGCGTGGTCTCAGAGCCCCCCAGGGGATTCTAATTCACAGCCAGGGAGCAAATTCCTGCTCATCCTTCAGGTCTCATCTCCTCACTCCCCTCACAAGAGTTTGTATACCCTCACGGCACCTGCAGCTCTTTGCTCAAGGTTTGTCTCGAGTATAATGAACTTGTTCAGTCCTCTCTTCCTGTCAAAGCTCTGAGGGGGCCGGACTCTGTGCGTCGTCAGCAGTTTATCCCCTGCACCCAGCATGGGGTCTGGCACTCAGAGGATTCTCATTAAGCTCTGAAATACTTTCAATGAATGAAAAATGTGAAGCAAGGTCTCTAAAAGGGCACTAGGTCTTCCTTTCGCATTTGGAGCATTTCCCAAGTAGAAAGTCCTTTCCACGTAGCATGGGCAACAGCGGATTATGTGCAAAAGTCTAGAACTTCCCAGCTGCCCCAGTTCTCTTGTGTTTGGGCCAGCTGAGGTCAAAGGCAGGAGAGGCCTGTTTATGTAGGGTGGCTCAGGGGTTGTCTGAGGCAGGGCTGGGCTGGGAGGGACGTGGGCTTGTGCAGACAGTCCCTGCCTGCGGCCCTGCCCTTGGCCTGCAGGGCTCCGTGCGCTGCCTCCTGGTGGGTTCATAAGCACTTGACTGCCATCCCCATAGCCATCCTTGCAGGGCCGGAAGGGGTGGCTTCTACTCCCGTCTCAGTAGATTTGGTTTTTGTCTTGACTCCAAATGCAAAAATGAAGACTCAATAACAAGAGGTGCTGCCATTTATAGAGAGCTCACTATGTGCCAGGCCCTGTGTTAGATGCCTTTTCTGCTCTTAGACTCCAGCAAGGGGGAACCCTGCTCTGACCTTGGCACTTTGGGGGGCCTTGATCTGGCCTTCTTCTGGCAGTGTCCCTTCTCCACAGGGTAAGGAGTTCACAGGGCCAAGGGGTTGTACCCACCCAGAGGGGCACCATCTCCTGCCCCAACCGTGAACCAGATACCTGGGATCCCAGAATTCCTGCCCAAATAGCACCAAGCCTGCTTGCGGTGCCTGCCTGTGTCCCCCTAAAGAGGGGGCAGGGACAGGGAGCCCGGGCCCGGAGGCTGGCCCTCATTCTGCCACCCTATTCTGGCTCAGAAGGCCAAGAGGTCCTAAAAACCTGAATCCACACTTGTCCTTCTAGACCAGCACTGTGCAATAGAACCTATTGCCATGAGGGAACATTCTCTGTCTGTCCAGTGCAGTAGACAGGAGCCATACGTGCTACTGAAATGCAGCTCGTGAAGCTGAGGAACTGAATTTTTAATTGTACTTCATTTTAATTTAAAATTTAATTTAATAGCCACATGTGGCTGGTGGTTGCCACGTTGGACAGCACAGTTCCACAACATGACGAAGGTCTACATGTCAAGGCAGGGGGAGAGAACAGTATTTTACTGAACAATTTGATATATTTAGACATAGGGTTGGTAGGTCTCCACTCTCGTTCTGGGTCCTGCAAATTTTAGGGAGTGTTAAATGCCTTGCGTGCTTCTCACCTAATCCTTATGACAGCCCTCTGATTTATTTACTATCTTCACGACTACATAGGAGAGAGAAAGTCACTTGCCTGACATGGCAGAATCATCTGTGGGATTTGAGTTGGGATTTGAATGCATGTCGGTCTGGCTCCAAGTTACTAACTACAATGTGTCTGGCCCTGGCCCAGGGGTTTTCATAGCCATTATTTAATTTAATCCTCACCATAATCCTCAGACGCAGGTCGAAGCAACCTCGCTTATACGTACCACCTGCCCAAAAGTTACGAATTGCCCCTGTATCTTGCAGATAAGGAAGCAGGCTCAAGGAGGCTGAGGGTCCTGCTCAAGTTCACAGAGAAAGCTGTAGAGTCTGATGTCACACCCAGAGCTGCTGAGCTCCGAAGCCAGTGTTTCAGGGTTACGGAGATTACTGCTTCTCATGGGAGTTCCCTCAGTTTTAGGGATTGCAAAGCAAGCCTGTAGGATTTTGTTGAATTCTGGCTGGAAAGTGACTTCTTCCCAAAGCTGAGCACGCTGGTCGCCAAGAGCAGCCGAGTCATGTTCGTTACTGCTGTGTGTGGAAAAATTCACAGTTTATCCCTCAACCAGTCTGACCAGTTTCAGGCTGGAGTTATAAGACGTCTCTGCAGATTGACTCCCTGAGAATCAAGCCCGGGACATGCACAAGACGCCTGCTGCTGCCATGTGACCAGCAAGGTACCAGGCAGGGCCTCCCACCAATTCGTGGTGCTGCACAGCTGGAGGCATTCAGAGCTTTTAAGACGCTGCCCACGTGCCGGGCGCTAGACGACTTTTCCATGCACTTTATCTGGTTTAATTCTTAGAACCACCCTGCAGAACACATGTTTTGGCCCTTGACAGCTGAAAGAAAAGCTTACTGAGTCACTCATTCACTCATTCATTCAGCAATTACTTCCTGGGAGCTGACTATGTGCCATGCACTGAACAAAATCTGGTCACTGTCTTCCTGGGAAGACAGCATAAAGGAAGGAAGCAGCTCCATAAAGGACATAATTACAGCTTGGGGCAAATGCCTTGGAGACACTGCAGACTGAGTTGTCAGGGAAGGCGATGTGTGAGGCCAGACCTACAGGTCGGGAACGGGCCGGCTTCAGGGCCTTTGCACCTGCTTTGCTCTCTGCCTGCGGTGCTCTGGCTTCTGAGCAGAAGAATCGCAGTGTGAAGGGCCCAGGCTCTGCTTCTCTCTTTGTGACCTTGGACAGGCCACTTTCCTTCTCTAGACCTCTGTTACCTCTTCTGTAAATTGAGGGATTGAACTAAACAAATCTCAAAAGACCCTTGCCGTTCAACCACTAACATGTAGTAAATTTTCCCCCTTCCCAGCAAAAAGCTGCTATTGTTCAAGTAGGTTTCTTTTAATTATAAAAGCCTATTTTGGAAATTTCGGAAGGCAGAGAAAAGGTTAAATGAGAAGACAGCCATAACAATAATTCTCCCCAGTCAACTCTGGGATGGCAGGGACTCATGGTCTTGTTCCTCGTTTTCCTCCAGAGCCTAACCCAAACTCACCCCCAGTGGTAGTGGCAGTAATGTAATAATAATAATAAAACAACAACAACAACAGTATCGTTAACAGCAGCTAACATTTATCTAGCACTTCCTGCTAACCAGGTCCTCTTGTAAACCAGTTGCATGGATTATTTTATTTGATCTGCACAATAACTCAGAGATGCATATATTTATACGATGCATATACTATTTATATGCTGTGTATAGTATGCCTCATTATCCGGATGAGGAAACCGAACTTCAGAGATGCTAAGTAACTTGCTCAAGGCCCCATAACTAGCATGTAGGGAAGCAGGGAGTGGTGGATCCTCAATAAACATGAACTCAATTGTGTTACATCCCTCTCCTGGGTCACTATGATGATAGCAAGGTATTTTTTTTTAATTTAATATTTATTTTATTTTATTTATTTATTTTTTCCCCCAAAGCCCCAGTAGATAGTTGTATGTCATAGCTGCACATCCTTCTAGTTGCTGTATATGGGACGCGGCCTCAGCATGGCCGGAGAAGTAGTGCGTCGGTGCGCGCCCGGGATCCGAACCCGGGCTGCCAGCAGCGAAGCACGCGCACTTAACTGCTAAGCCACGGGGCGAGCCCTGATAGCAAGGTATTGAACAGAGCCAAGTCTGATGGCAACTTGAGACCAAGGAATGTCCTCGACAGATCTTTTTCTCCCAGGCAATTTTTATTACATGTTCATTTTCATTTCAGCAGTGATAAATTTTCATAGGAGAAAATATTGAAAATATAGATAAGCATAGAAGAAGAAAAGAAAGTCCCCATAATCCCACCACCTACTGTATCGTTAATATTTGGTATATTTCTCCCAGGCTCTTTACAATATATTTTTTACCTGGCTGAGCTCAGACTGCATATGCAATTTCCTCTGCTGCCTTTTACCCTCAGTATTCTATGTTCATTCCCCATGTTATTATGAACTCTCCATAAACATCCTTTTAATGACTGATGCAGCCTTTGACAGGTGAATCATCCAGTATTTAAAAAGTGAGAACTCATAAGTACATAATTTCACCTGTGAGGGATGAGGCAACCCAGAGTAGGAACCAAGAGCCAGGGTTTCAGGGGCCCCAGTCCTACCACCTACCAGCGATGCCATCTTGGGGGAGTCGCTTCAAATCGCCAATCCTTATTTTTATCTGAGAATAGGAATACCAATAATATAATAGCTGCTCCCTGTGGTTAACGTGAGGCCAGAGCAAGATGAGATACACTAAAGCATTTTTTAAATGTACACAGCACAGCGAAGATTTGCTTTGAATAACAAGTTTCATTTTGGGGGAAAACTTATTCTTTCAGAATGCAGAAGTGGGCTCAAATTTAATCAAGCTGGCGTCTACAACAGCAAAAGCCCTGAAGGAAAAAGATGACCAAGTCTACTGCCAGCCAGAGTTGCTTTATGAAGGTAAAATGCACCCTCTGTACCTAGGTTTAGGGAAGGGGCAGAATTTCATGAGGACCCCTGAGGACTCTTTGTGTAATACCTCCTGCTGATGCTGAGGAGCTGTGCATGGACAAGGGACAAAGAGGAAGGCTCTTGGGAGACCGCAGTGAAAAGCGTTTGGGGACAGTTCTCTTTTGTATATCCTCAAACACCTCCTGGGAAGACACTGGGGTAGTAGCGCGGCCACCCTCTATTGGAACAACCACAATGTGTCCAGACATTGCCAAAGTCCGGTGGAGGGCACCATTGCCCTGATTGAGAACCACTGCCCTAGAATGTAAGCCCATGAGGCAGGGACCACGTTTCTGTGTCAGTGTACCACCAGCACATGACAGAAGTCTGGCGTAGAGGGGTCTGTGCTCAACACTTAAGTGTGGAATGAACGGGCTTGCCCAAGGACATTCAGCTAGAGTGGCAGGGCGGGGCTCTAAACTGAGACCCCTGTTCCCACGTCGCCGCCCCGTGCCAGGTGAGGTGTCTGGAAGGGCACAGTCCTGGGGACTTTCCTAGGATGACCTCAGATTTTCCCACAAGAACCACTTCTGTAAACGACGTCCCATGGATCCTGTAACAGGTTCTGTGTGGCACCCCAGCCTCTTGGAAGTGAAAATGTGTATCATCTCAGTCCCAGTTCTTAAGGCATCAGCATCCATTTCTGCGCACCGGCCGCATGGTATGGGCAGACGGAGGCTTAAAACATTATGGTCTTTTTGTTTCTAAGGAGAGAATTCTTGTTTATTGCAGCATTCTTGGGCAGTACTGAGAAGTATGATGGTAGACAAATCCCTCATCATCCCTCCACCCATGACGACCCCTGGGAAATATCCACCCAGTCTTTCTGTCACATGTGGATTGCTTGGCATATGCCAGGCCCTCTTCTGGGGCTCCTCAGACATCCCCTCTTTTCATCCCGACAGTCTCATCCTGTCATCATTGACATTAGATGAGTCCACGCAGATAAGGGTCTTCGCTCAGGTCTGGCCCGTAGTGAGAGTCCAGCAAAAAGGAGGTGTTATCGGAACAACTCCAAGAGGCAGGTGCTGGCACATATTATTCTTGTTTAGAGCTGAGAATGGCAGAGCTGAGAGTAATTCAGTGACTTGCCCCAAGATGGGCAGCAGAGCCAGGATCCGCACCCAGGTTTCTCTGACTCAAAAACCCTTAACCTCTGCATTTATAGTTTTATGAAATGTGTACGATACCATCTAGAATATTCTGAAATAGCTGCTTCCACTTAATAAATGTAGCCTGAGAATTTTCCCACATCCTGAAGATTCTTCAAAGCATGGCTTTAATAGCTGTGCAGAATTCACAGAGATGAGTCTTACTTTACTTAACCCAGTGCCTATAGCTGGTCATTTACAGGGTGGAGGTAAGGAGGGTCCCAGACCAGGTTTGAGGGGCCCAGGAGCATCATGGGAAGTCTCAGGTGTACTCTGGGACCAGCTGTGGGCATCTTTTTCTGATTTAAGTATGTGGGTGGTCCCTCCTCCTCACGTTCATCGTAACCTGTCTCTTGGAAGTTTCACAATTACTCGTCTGAGGGATTATGCATCTTCCCATCTCAATGGTCCATTCCCCTTCACTCCCCACTGAGCCTGATATCCATTTATGCCTTGGGTCCTTTTCAGGAGGCCTTGATGTGGCAAATATATCCCTCCCCGCTCCTCTTTTCTTGGACATTATACTTTCATCAGCAGTTGGCTCCAACTGCCTGGAATATTTCATAAGAGGGGGACTTTCATTTCAGTATTCAGACATAGAAATTTAATTTGACACAACAGACATATATAAATATAGATGCATTTACATGGGCAAAATTTTAAAGTTTTTTGGATTATACAAGTAAAAGGTATAATGAAAATTTCACATAATGATAAACTTAGAATGTACACTATAAAATATAAACTATAAGGAAGTTATAATCCCAGCAATGCTTCTAAACTTTTTCTCCTCACTTATAACATAGTGGGATAATTCTATAATCAGCCTTTTACACTTAATCTTATGATATGCACACTTTCCCATGTTATTAAAATTCTTCATAAATATTATTTTTACATAATGTCATTACATGAATTTACCAGTTTTTTTTTTTTTTTTGGTGAGGAAGATCAGTCCTGTGCTAACATCTGCCAATCCTCCTCTTTTTTTGCTGAAGAAGACTGGCCCTGGGCTAACATCAGTGCCTATCTTCCTCCACTTCATATGGGACGCTGCCACAGCATGGCTTGCCAAGCGGTGCATCGGTGCACGCCCGGGATCCGAACCAGGGAACCCCGGGTCAACGCAGCAGATCACGCGCACTTAACCGCTTGCGCCACCAGGCCGGTCCCCAGATTTTTTTAACTATCTCCCTTTGATACTCCTTTCCATAGCTTCAGAAGTTTCTGTTCACATCCATACACATGTGCATGTACACATGAGTACTTTTTTTAAAGAGCTTTAAAAAAATTGCAGTCACCTCTGATTTTAATCATGCAATTCTCTTTGATTTCTATCTTGGATAATTAAAGATGTTTACACACTTAAAAACCTAGGTCTATCTTACCTTGCTCCTGAACCTTCTAATAGAGCTGGCGTAATTATGAGAGGATCCCTCATCCTGCCCTGTGACCACCTTTGATCCAATCCAGGGCCTGAATCAAGTTCGGGGGTCCTGGCTGGGAGCTGTTTTAATGGAAAGGACGCCTGGCTTGGCCTGGAGGGCGGATGCTCCCAGCCCTGGTGATGGGGCTTCATCAGCTGTGTCCTTCTCTCTAGGCTTAGAGCTGCCTCGGATCAATTACGCTCACAACGGGAAGCGATACCGGTATGTCTTTGCTGCTGAAGTTCAGTGGAGTCCCATCCCAACCAAGGTACCAGTCCCCTTGTGATTGGGACCTACGATGATCATGTCTGCCTGCAAAGCTGAATTCTCAGGTTTTCTGACTGGGTGAGCTTGATCAGAAAAGGCAGGTCCTTGGGGACAGGAGGTAGGTCAGAGAGTGAGGTCAATTTGGGACAAAATACATTTGAAGCATTAACGGGTCGTCCAAGAGAGGGAGCCGTACCTAATGGGCTGATGCTCAGGAAAGAGATCATGGCTGGAGTTTATTCACTGATTTCTTTATTCGATACGTGTTTATCGAGCACCAGCTTGGTGCAACAACATGGTAGACACCGAGGATAAGGACGTGAACAGGAGGATCCTAATCCCTGCCCTCAAGGAATTCACCCTCTCAAGCAGAGAGGGTCGAGCTGAAACTCGGAGGATTTATTTTCTTTGTTAAACTATTTGTCGAACACTTGCTGTATCCCAGGGACAATGCTGAGTGGTGTACAGACATCACTTTTCCTTAATATCCTAATTTGGTAATAATAAAATGGAAAATCTTTTTTAAAAAATGCAAACAGTGCATAAATGTACAAAACAAAACAATTAAGGCTCCCGGACACACATACACACACACCCCAAGTCACTCCCCACTAATCCCACACCCAAGGGGAAACAGGCCTGTTAGAGATGAAGAGCAGTCCAGAGACTTGCACTTTTAAAACAACAAAGGAATCGTATTATACTTTAAAGGTTTGCATTGAATACACTAGTTTATTTAACACATATAGAAATTGCAATGTATTGCCAAGTGCCAGATAAATTCAGGATTTTTATTTTTCCAAGAATTCAGTGTGTAGTGTCAGCTATGTGGTGGCAGGAGGATCTTTGCTTTAAGTCAGAGGAGGACAGCTGGCTGCTTTCATATCTGTTGTTACACTGACCAGGGGCAGAAGTCACTTTGAGTCTTCATTGGAGGGGCTTGGTCCCCTCTCTCGGCGGGGCTGATGCCTTCCTGTTCACAGGGAGTGAGCATGCTCTCTGACAGGTCACTCCATGTTTCTCCTCTTTGGGTGAACAGATACTAAAATATGACATTCTCACGAAGTCGTCCTTAAAATGGGGAGAGGAGCACTGCTGGCCGGCAGAGCCCCTGTTTGTGCCCACGCCAGGCGCCGAGGACGAGGATGACGGTAAGACTCTGGGAAGGACAGCCCGCTCACTGCACTCTGTGATCACCCCTCAAACAGAGACATCGTTTGGGGGCAGTGACCCCCCCATCACACAGCTGATAGAGTCATGCTTTGAAGCCCAGGTCTGTCTGAGTCCAAAGCTGTGGTGTTAGGGAGTCCCCAAGACCATCCTCATTTCTGAGACCAACTACAAGTTCAAGAGTCCCCAAGACCACCCTGGGTTTCAATAGAAGGACTCACAGAACACACTGAAACTGTTATACTCGTGGGTACGGTTTATTACCACGAAATGATGCGGTTTGAAAGAGAAGAGGCTCATGGGACAGCATCCAGTAGAGTTCCACACGTGCAGCTTCTGGCTGTCCTCTCCCGGGCGAGCCGTGGACCACGCTAACTTCTCCCAACAATACCCGTGGAGTATCGCCAACCAGGGAAGCCCACCCAAGCATTGGTGTCAGAGCTTGTTTGGGGCTTGGTCACATAGACGTAGTTGACCGCCCATGTGGTTGACCTTTAGTCTCCAGCCCCTCTGGAGGTCAAGCCCAGAGCCCCCACCTAAATCACTTTGTGAGATACATTATCTGGCTGCCCCCAGGTAAGCAAAGACACTCTCATCAGTAGGACATTCCAAGGGCTTAGAGGTCACCTCCCAGGAGCAGAGGTCAGACCTCCCTTTGGGGGACATTAAATTGTTTACTACACAGAAGCCCACTTCCTTCCACTGAGCACCACCACCCTCTCCTGGAGTGTCGTGCGAATCTTGGTTTTAAAATTCATTGCAATGGCAGAGTCAGAGCTCCTCACTGTCCCTAAGCAGGTAACTTTTTCGTGGAACACATGGAAATGCATATTTGTGGCCCATCTCTTGTTTCTAGGTTTCCACGTCACCAAATGGTCCTTTCCCTCCTTGATTCTGCCTTTGCCCCAGAAATGCCCTGCCCACACCCCTGGGGATGCTAAGGAGGGTGATGAGAACTGTGGGTGGGGCTGCCCACACCTGCAGGGGAGGGCGGGCTCCCCCATTGAGCCTACCAGCTGCTTCCCTCAGGTGAGAAGGGAGTGGTCTACCTGGGCCATGTCTTCCTACTGATCATGTGTGGCACGGCACGCAGGGTGGGGGACCCCATGTCATTGTCACCTCCAAGGTGAGGGATTGTTGGTACCACCTCCTCCTGGGGCTGGCCACCCACTGGGCTGCACAGGTGGGTCCCGTACATTCTCTCCGTGGGCAGGGAGTAGCACTGTCTTCATTTCACCAAAGGAGAGACTCAGAGAGTGAAGTAACTCACCCAGGTTCACACACCCAGTGCCTGCAGAGGTAGGATTTCAATTCAAGCCGATCTGACTTCAACTATGCTCAGCTGCTCTGAAACCCTGCGGCCTTGGGAGCAAACACGAGTATTTACTAGAAGTTTAGGTGCATTATTTTGTTTGATCCTCTGTCCCTTGAGAGTGAGTACTTAGAATATTTCCATTTTACAGAGGGGAAAGCTGAGGCTGTTAGCGTGTTGCACGTGCTTTTACAGAGGGGAAAGCTGAGGCTGTTAGCGTGTTGCATGTGCGTGAGATGAACTGGGCTCATTCAAATGCCGTTTGAGTGCAACTAGTCTGAGTTTAGCCGAGTGATACATATTAACCTAAATGCAGCATCAAAACTGATTCTCTATAATCAGAGTTTCCAAATAGCAGGAAAAGAGCCATTCTTCAGTGCATGCAATAATATACAAAGTGCTTTCATAATTCCCTGTGCAAGAGATCCTCTCAGCAGCCCTGTGACAGTAGGGAGGACTATCCCCACTCTATAGATGAAGAGACGGAGGTTCAGAGAAGTAAAGGGCCTGGCCCAGCCAGAGCCGGAACCAGGTCTTCTGATTCCCAGCCTTTTGACTTCTCTGGCCTTTCCCTTCTGCTCACACAGAATATCAAATTCACTGCCCTTCTGTTTTGATTAGCTACTTCAGTTCAAAGAGGATAGGGAGATATAGCTGAGAAACTTATCCCTCCAGCTGGAGGAGGTTCAAGGCTGCACTTTTACCAAGTATCTCTTTTTGTTCCCCAAAGGAATTATCTTATCAGCCATTGTCTCTTCTGATGCCCAAAAGCCACCTTTTCTGCTTATTCTGGATGCCAAAAGCTTTACAGAATTGGCTCGCGCATCCATTGACGTCGAAATGCACCTGGACCTCCACGGGTTATTCATCCCGGATGCAGACTGGAACGCAAGGCAGCAGGCCCCTTCCTGGAAAGCACAGGACAGGGCTTCCAACTGCCACGGGGCCCCACAGACCTGAGATTTGGGCCGGGAAGAACAGCTGCAGTGGCAGGCTCCCCAGGACTCAAGGCTTGATTCCTCTCTGAGTGGAGGGGAGTTCTTGTTTCATTTTGGGCTTATTCTTTCCATGTGCTTTGAGACCACGGTATGGAAGTAGATCTTGTCGGTATCTTCTCTTTCGTCTTATTTTGGCTTAAAAACCTCGTTTGAAAGTCGATCAAATATTTGTTGATTAGCTCTAGTTCTTCTAAGAAAGCCCCTTTTCTTTATTATAAAGACCATGACCATGAATCAGAAATTGTATTAAGTCACATGATCATCGTTCTTAGAATGAGCAACCACTGACATATTAGAGAAGAGACAGAAAAATATTTATCATTGCTCCTTCCTCCCTCCCCTTCTCTTCCTTCCCCTTTCCCTTTTTTCCAGTGGACTAGATTGTCATCTGGGAGTGCTAGCTTTCTCAGTCATGCCCTGTTAGCAAATTATGTGGCCGAGAAGGCATGTTGCTCCGTGGTCATTCCATGCAAGGCATGGCATAATATAAAATAATAAAAACTTTAAAGTCTGTTCAGACCTTATTTTATTTTTTCATGGCTTCTTTCCTCTGAAGTTCTTCTAAGGCAATAAAATAAAGTGGTGGAGATGGATGGTTGGTAGCCAGCTAGATGCCCCCTTGTACAACCAATGGGACAACAGATTGGTATGGGAATCTCCCTTTACGGGAGGAGGTTAAGGGGCTGGACACTGACCCAGCTGGCCATGGCCAAGGGGCTAGAATCCAGGATTGAGTCCCAAGCCAGGGCTGGCATGAGGAGTTCTTGCCTGATGCTGAGAGCCAGGGCAGTGAGCCATGCCTGTATCTGCATGGGAAAGGAGGTTCCCCAAGCTGAATGCGCTGCCAGGATGGACCAGGCATTTGGGGCAGAGGTAGAGGGAGGTTGATGGTTGGGATGGAGGAAGCTGGGAACAAGCCAAGCAGGGTCCCACGTGAGTACTAGGACCTCCATGGACATCTGAGTCTCACCTTTATAGTCTAGTAGGTGCTGGGTGCCTGGTTTAGAGGCACCAAACGCAGGCTGCATAATTCCCACGTACTCACATCATGGGGTCAGGGGAGCTGAGATTCCACCCTTATTCTGCACTTGCGTCCTCCTGAGTCTGGATTTCATTCAGTCACCAGTGGGGATTCAATGACATGTCTTGAGGACAGGAAGGAATCTCTAGTGACCGTGCATGGAACACCTCAGAGGGGGCAGACCTCTGAAGGATTGTTTTGGCTTTTGCCCTGCAGCCCCCATGAAGCCATACTTTCCACTTAAATGTAGGCTCCATCAGGTCATGGATTGGGGATTTTTCTTTTTTTTTTTCCTCCCGAAAGCCCCAGTACACAGTTGTATATTCTGGTTGTAGGTCCTTCTAGATCTTCTATGTGAGCTGCCACCACAGCATGCCTACTGACAGACAAGTGGTGTGGTTCCGTGACCAGGAACTGAACCCCAGCCACCGAAGCGGAGTGTGCCAAACTTTAACCACTAGGCCATCTGGGCTGGCTCAGGGTTTTGTTCTTTAACTGAAATTTTTATCGGAATAATTGTAGATTCACGTGCAGTTCTAAGAAATAATACAAAAGAGATCCCACATGGACTTTACCCAGTTTTCCTCAATGGTAAGATTTTAGTACAACATCACAATTAGAATATTGACATTGATTCAATCCACAGATCTTAGATTTCCCCAGTTTAACTTGTACTTCTGTGTGTGTGTGTGTGTGTGTGTGTAGTTCTACACAATCTTATCACACATGTAAGTTCCTGTATCCACAGCACAGTCAAGACACTGAACCCACATTGACACAAAAATCCCTCTTGATGCTTTATCACCACAGCTCTCTCCCACCATAACCTCCCATCCCTAACCTCTAGCGACCACTATTTCTAAAATGTTGTCATTTCAAAAATGTTGCATAAATGGAATCACATAGGATTAATCTTGGGCAATGGCTTTTTTCCCAGAATTCCTTAGAGATTCACCCAAGTTGTTGTTTTCATCCACTTTGTCCTATGTTGGGTGTGTTTCATCCACTCCTTTATCCTCAGCACCTAGAACACTGCATGGTGGATGCGGACTCTGAATAAATATTTGTTGAATGAATGAATGAATGAATGAATGAATTCCCCCAACAAAGAGATTCAACTCAATAATGTACCAAGAAATGGATATTTTATTGAAGATCTCCAGGCAGATGGAGAAGATAGTTCACGTGGAGCCCAATGACAACACCCAAAATTCCCCATGAAGGTTTCCCTCACCTGCCATCCCTGATCTCTCCTCTCTCTTCCCCCGTTGGGCCCTCAAAACCTCCTCTATCATCCCAGCCTTTCCATTTCACCGCCAGCATATAGATCCCGTTAAACAAAAACCCAAATGCTGGACATGGCAGGATGAAGACCATCTCTCTGCTCTTCCTCAGAATCTCCTTTGGGGATCTCCAGCCTTGACAAGATGGACTGGGAGGAAATGCCAACTATGGCAGCCTAAGAAAAGTGTGATTTAGGTCTGCATTTGGGTGGCAGGAATGGATAAGAGTTGACATGTGACAATCACTCACCTACTCATTAATCTACTTTAAATATTTGAGAAGAGGGTGGAATTAAAAAATGCTTCCCCACCTCCATTCTACTTAATTCCAATTGCCAAACAGTACCCAAACCTAATCATGAAAAAGGGTGCAGTTCTGCAGGGAAGAAAAATATGTCTGTGGTTTGTTTACCCTGTTTAAGATGACAGGTGAAATACCAGACTGATGAGGAAGGCTGCCACACCAAATCTTTTTTTATCAGCTTAAAACACACCAAAAGTTGATGCCAGGATATCCAATTTATCTAGATCCTTAATTCCATCACCTTTCATACACAGGCCGGGGTAATTAGCTCAAAACACCACAGGAGCTGAGATGCATGTGCCTTTCTTGGAGTCAGCACGAGACAGTCCATCTTATCCTCCGAGCCTTCCTTGTTATGCTTCATGTAGGTGTTACACGTGACCAGGAAGTTATACGTGAGCGGGAAAGATCACTCCAGATTTGTTTATTGCTTTGATAAAGCCACAGCATTTCACAAGTGCTCTAAGATGTAAGTGTCAGGTGCACAGCGAGCCCTCAAATGTCTGCTGACCCACTTTTCCTTCAAAGGGTTCTCTAATTTGATTCCAGTTCGGGAATAAGCTGGATGTATATTGAACAAATCAACTCATGAACAATCCAAGTGCATTCAAGCTACATCCACATTATTGGTTCACACTCAGGTTTCCTCCCAAAGAAAGTTACCAAGTGTCAGGCTGACTCCATTAAGAAGGTTGCTGGTCCCACTTTAGATCACTTCTTAAGTTGTTTTAAGACTGTTTTGGTGGTTTTTAAATGGCCAAGAGAAGTCTTGCCTGTGGCAAATCAGGACATGCAGATAGAAAACCATCACCACCTTCTTCCTCATCCAACAATGGTGAGGCCTCTACATTTCTACTTCCTTCTAGGAGGTTAGACTCAGTGGCCAGGTGCAGAGGCACACAAGCCATATCAGGAAGCGGTCTCTTGAGGTCAAGCACTAGCAAAGAGGCCGGGGATTTTCTTGGGCAAGGCAAGCAAAGAGAGATGTGGGAGCGTTGTGTTCGGGCAGGGTGGGGATAAGCCAGCCTTCTTTCCTCTTGGTGGTCAGGAAAGGCTTCCTGGAGTGGTGCGCTTTCAGGAGCTGCCTGAGCAGCCAGAGGGAGAAGCCTAGTGGTTATTGCAGGCTGAGGGTGTGGCTCAGGATGAGGATGTGGAGGTGGACGTGGGTTGACTGAACAAAGCAGATGTAGAGTGAATTCCCCAAGAAAGAACAGTGGAAAAAGAGAGAGAATTAGGGGAATTTTTTCCCTCCGATTATAAAAGTCATATATGTTCATTATAGAACACCTGGATACACTAAAAAAAAAGAAATGAAAAAGGTATCCGTAGTCCCACTACTGAAAGAAAACCCCTGAAATCATTCTGGTGTGTTTTTTTCCAGTTTTAAAAATTTATCTGGGCACAGTTTACATATTAGTGATCAGTTTATAACCTACCCACCAGTTTATAACTTGCTTTTTTCACTTACCGTGTGATCCAAGTGTTTTCCCAGATCACTAAATTCTTCTAATGGGTGCATATTATTTCATCTTTGGGACACGGCGTGATGTACACTATCCTACTGTTGGATGTTTAGGTTGTTTCCAATTTTCAACGATTACAAATAATGCCAGATCAGTAACTTTGTACATTTGTCTCTAGAGTTCACCCCCACCCCCACCCCTGCTCTGTATTCAGGTAATTGTTATTGTTTTTTTCTTTGACTAGGTTTCCAACTTGGGATTTCTGAGCCCAAGAGTAGAAAAACAAGGTTTGGGGTATTCTTTGAAAGGCCAAAGGTTTTGGCTTGGTTCGTAGGAAACTGAGAAGCCATTCTAGAATCTGAGAGTTTCAAGTGGTCAAACTAGCTATAGGGCTGAGAAATCCACATTTCTCAGGAAACAGGAAAAAAAAGGGGGTGCATGGTAAAATAACTTTAGTCCAAATCCTCCCTTCTTCCTGTTGCCTATTCTTTCTTATCCTCCATATTTTCCCACTCCATACAGATATTTTTTCTTTGTCAGGCATATATTCACTCCATTCATTCATTCATTCATTCATTCATTCAGTGATAACCAAGACTATGTTGGCATATAATGGTGAGCAAAACCAGTATCTCAACCGCCCTCAGGAAGCGTGTAGCCTAGTGAAGGACACAGCCAAGGACACAAACCAACATGACTCAGTGGAATGGCAATGAGAAAGGGGCACCCTGTGGTGTTTTGGGAGCCAGGAATGGCTGATACACGAAGGATAGGAGCAGACAGCTAGGTAAAATGGCGATCCAGGTGAAGAAAGCAGCATGTTTCCAGGCTGGAATCAGGAGAGTATGTGGTAAACTTGGAAAATTGAACTGTGGGGCAGAAGGTGGACAGAAAAGACAGGTTTCAGCCAGACCCTCCAATTTATCTGTACTCAGGTAAGAAATGGAATTG